GGTCCACCTGGAGGTCCAGCAGCAATCAGAACTTGCCTTGGCTGGGCTTTGCAAGGCCCCTCCAAACATGTACAAGAACAACTCCCAATTTCACAGTGCCTGTTCACATCTAATTGTTCTCCATCCGCAGAACTTTATCATCAGATTGAAAAGTTATGGCAGATGGACATCCTGCCGTACCGAAGTGAGAAAATTGTAGTAAGGTCACAACAGGACCAAGAAGCCTTGAACATGCTCGAGACACAAACAGTGCAGGTGAAAGTGGATGGAATTGACAGATATGCCACCCCACTTTTAAGAGTCAAAACAATGACTTTACTCAATGCCCCCAAAGAGGCTGTAATGTGCCATCTCCGTAGCACTGAACGCCGTCTGACAAAGGACCCACCATTAGCCCTCAAATATCAAGAGGAAATCAAAAAACTGGAGAATGCTGGTTATGCCACTAAAATACCACCTCAAGAAGCAGCCCAATCTACAGAGTCATGGTATCTGCCCCACCACATTGTGACACACAATGGAAAGCACAGAGTGGTGTTCAATTGCTCTTACACATACAATGGAGAAAATCTGAACAAGCAGCTGTTGCCAGGACCAACATTAGGCCCCACTCTCCTTGGAGTGTTAATTCGCTTCAGAGAACATCGAGTCGCCATCAGTGGAGACATTAAAGGGATGTTTCACCAGGTCCGTCTGCTCCCCAAAGATAAACCCCTTCTGCGGTTCTTGTGGCGGGACCTAAACCCAGAAAACCCACCTGATGTGTATGAGTGGCAAGTCCTTCCATTCGGCACAACCTGTAGCCCCTGTTGTGCAACCTTTGCCGTTCAGCGACACGTTTTTAGCCATTGCCAACAGGGTGACAAGCTACGACAGTCAGTTGAACATTCCTTCTATGTAGACAACTGCCTACAAAGCACTTCATCTGCAGTTGAAGCCCGTGAACTAATTGATGGTCTAAGGTCCATACTAGCCTCAGGGGGTTTCGAAATCCGTCAGTGGGCAAGCAATGAGGCCACAGTGGTCAGACATCTCCCTAAAGAGGCCAAATCAGAGAATACTGAGCTGTGGATTTCTCAAAGTCAGGCAGACCCCCATGAAATGACACTGGGACTTAGCTGGCATTGTGTACCAGACACCCTACATTACCGTCGCCGCCCGCTGCCCTACCAGGAGGTAACAATGAGGAATATCTATCGTGTCCTTGCCAGCCAATATGACCCACTAGGCTACATCATACCCTTCACAACAAGGGCCAAAATCATTGTACGTCAACTGTGGGCAAAAGAACGAGAATGGGATGACCCCCTTCTACCATCAGAACTACTGCAGGCCTGGCAGAATTGGGAGGCCGAACTGAATCATCTTCCAAAAATTACCATGCCCCGTTGTTATGTGTCGGCCACTCTAGACGTTCCAGAGGCAGAACGAGAGCTCCATATCTTCTGCGATGCCTCTGCAGAAGCTTACGGGTCAGTAGCATACCTTCGCACTGAGCACCAAGGCCAGATTGAGCTGGCATTCATTCATGCAAGATCTAGAGTGTCACCCAAAAGGCAACAATCTGTACCCAGGCTCGAACTGTGCGCCGCCCTCACTGGAGCACAGTTAGCCAAGCTGCTTCATAATGAGCTGTCACTCAAGATCAAAGACACATTCTTGTACACTCAACAACCGTACTTACCTGGATCAAATCAGAATCTTGCAGATTTAAAGTTTTTGTGGGGACTAGAGTAACTGAAATACAAGAGCTCACCGAAGGTTACTATTGGCGGTTTGTAGATTCAGGAAACAATGTTGCAGATGACATCACACGTGGCAAATCCTTGCTTGAACTGTCCCAACCCAACAGATGGAGTAAAGGGCCAGATTTCCTCTATCTACCACCCGTTAGCTGGCCAGAAAGCCCTTCTGTAGAACTAGATGCAGACCTGACTGAGCTCCGTAACACAAAGTTTTGTGGTCTCACCTTGGATGGTTCTGGATCATCACTGCCAGATGCCAACCAATTCTCCACCTTTGAAGAACTTCTGGAGGCCACTTGTAGGTCCTTACATGGGGCGGCAGGAGAAACCACTGACCCAGAAGCCATACAGTACAGACAAGCTGAAACGGATTTACTAAGGCGAGCCCAAACAGACAGTTTCCCCTCAGAGTATAATGCCCTTACAGCTGGTAAGCCAATCCCATCATCAAGTCGTTTGCTTTCACTATCACCTGAGTTGGATAAGACAGCTGCACTCATCCGTGTTGGAGGACGATTACGGCAAGCCCAGCACTTGTGTTACAGTACTGTACATCCAATAGTCCTGGATCCAAATCACCCAATTACCCGACTCCTCATAAAACAGTATGATGCCAAACTCGGTCACCCTGGTCCAGAAAGGGTCTTTGCTGAAATGCGAAGGTATTACTGGATCCTCAGAGGGAGAGAAGCAATACGGCGCCATCAACGTTCTTGTGTCGAATGCCAAAGGTGGAGAGCAAAGCCCAATATCCCAAAGATGGCAGAACTCCCTCCAGCCAGACTTCGTCTCATGAAACCGCCTTTCTTTTCCACGGGAGTAGATTGCTTTGGCCCATTCCTTGTAAAACGAGGAAGGAGCAATGAAAAGAAATGGGGTATTATTTTCAAGTGCATGACAACACGCTGTGTGCACTTAGATCTTCTGGCCAACATGGACACAGACTCCTTTCTAATGGCTCTCAGACGCATGGTTGCTCGACGAGGAACTCCCTCTGAAATACTGGCAGATCAGGGCACCAATTTTCGAGGAGGAGATAAAGAATTGCAAACTGCATTTACAGCCATGAGTCCCGATCTCCAAGCCCAGTTAGCAAAACAGAAAATCCAGTTCCATTATAATCCTCCAAATGCTCCACATTTTGGAGGTATGTGGGAGCGAGAAATCCGCTCAGTCAAAGCAGCCTTACGCACCATAATAGGACCCCAAACTCTCACAGAGGAAGTACTCAGAACACTCCTTATAGAGGTTGAGTCTATACTCAATGCAAAGCCACTGGGTTATGTTTCTTCTGACCTTGCTGACCCAGATCCTGTGACCCCAAATTACCTGTTGATGGGGCGGCCAGATGTGTCACTACCACAAGTCATCTACCCAGAATCTGAGATCCTTAGTCGGAAAAGATGGCGGCACTCACAGGTCTTGGCCGACCAGTTCTGGACGAGTTTCATTAAGAATTACTTACCCACCCTGCAACAACGTCAGAAATGGATGACAGACACCAGCAACCTCACACCTGGAACAGTCGTGATGATAATAGATCACCAACTTCCTCGAGCCTTGTGGCCTGTCGGCAAAGTTGTTACCACATACCTCGGATTGGATGGTCGTGTTCGTTCAGCAACGATAGAAGTCAAAAACAAACAATATCATCGTCCTGTGGCTCGTCTTATCACTCTGCCTTCTATTCCAGATGATAACCCTACAACGGACTAAAATGGCAAAGGATGATTGTACATTTGCATAGCAAATGTAGGGGCGGCTGTAAAAGAGGTCGGTGGGCTGAGCCCAGAGCTGTGCTCTCTCCTCATGCGTGCATGCTGTGACATCACGAACAGACTCCTATAGAGCTCGTACTTGATCATGCGCTGATCATGAGCACAGGCAGCCAATCAAAACGCAGCTTAGGTCTGCTGTACATTGAGACTGTTAACTGGTTTCATTCTGATCAGACAGAGAGAAAGGTTGCATGCTTTGCTTTCCGCCTAATTCCAGTCAGTTTTGTGTGCGTCAATGATGAGAAGTAAGTGTTTATGCATCATTTACATACCTGTTACCACTGTTTTATCATTATAGTATTGTATTGAGATTATTGATTTATGCGCGAGCTCGTAAAGAATCGCGGACTGCCGCGGCTAGTAGTAGCGATCTTTTATGTAAATATAATTGCTTTAAATGATAATACATACATCGCCTATTAAATCCATGCTTTTTGTTATATTTCCGCCTAAGTTAAAAGCCTGTTAATAGTGAGAATTATTATTTTATATACGTTTATCTGCCTTGCTTCATCTGCTTTGCTCATGCATGTCAGTTATAAATGTATATTGTAGTTTAGTGTTGTGTATAAGTATTTCCACTTGTTACTGTTATCCTTATTATCTAAATTTACTTATTAATGTATATTTTCTTTCCTTTGTTTAGACCACACACACACACACACACACACACACACACACACCAAACACATACACAAAGTGTGATGGACAATAAAGAGCTTTAAATGGGGTTCAAGTCTCCGTGTTCTTACCGGCACTCCATGGCGACGATCAAATTCACCTAAGAACCAGCTAACTCCTCTACAACATGCATTGCTCAGGTGTGATTTTTTTTCACAGACTTCAACAGAGTGTAAAAATCTTGATGGTTCTGTGGATCTCGTCTATCAAATCTGATCTTTATTTTGTATTGCTGAGTTAAGAAAGATTTCAGTTTGTTTGCAAGGCAACATTCCAAAAGTTGGCCTATTTTTTTAATTGTGTATCGTTTAGATTCATTTCAGTACAGCTTGTATTATCTGAATATGATTTTAATTGTTTTATTTAACAAAAGCAACACTGGCTTAACCTGAACTTACATAGTTAGATAGATGCTTATAATCTATTATAGTTTTCAGCAATAAAACACAGAAAATCACGACCAGTCAAGGTCTTACTTTATTAAATGTTGATGACTTTTTTTTTGACAGAACAAAAGGTACCCTTTTATTCATAATCCTCCACCCTCACGCATAGTTCCGAGAGTACAGAAGCTTTTGAAATAACTACATTTTCTTATTAAATCAAGTCCATTTCTTACATGCATTTTGTCCCTGAGCTATACATATCACCATGTGAACAAGCTGCTCCATATAACAATGCAACATTCAGTGGAATGGACATAAGTGTCTGTCAGTGTATTATGCAACCATAACTACACAATGCATAATTACACATACATTTTCGTTATCAAATAGGTGTATGTGGGTGTGTGTACCTTCACAGTCAGACGGCTCTGTGCTTCCTTCTTCCTGGTCAGAAAGCAGACGATTAAATTTGTGATGCTGCCCTGGTGCATTCTGGGGGTTAATCTCTGTGACACCTGAACGGAAGCTTTGAGAGCGGGAAACAGAGATCTCAAAATGCTTGGCTAATTCATCGTCGCTGTCCGATGAGCTGGAGATCTCTCCGTCGTCGCCGTAACTATTCACTGCAAACCACACATAAGACAAGGACACACTAGGTAAGGATAAACGAAGAGAAACCTAGAAAAGTAAACGGTAACACTTTAGTTTAGGTCACAATTTATGGTATTAACAAGCTATTAACTAACACTACTAGCTTAATAAACTACTAATTTGCTGTTTATTAATAGTTAGTAAGGTCTGCTTGGGTTTAAGTTTTGGGTAGGATTATGGATGCAGAATAAGATCATACTTTTAAATTATGAACAGTTAAAATCTTAATAATAAGAAGGTAATAAGCCAGTATTTAATAGCATGAACTGCGACCAAAATTAAAGTGTTACAAAATAAACAAACATACATGAATTGATACAATTAAATTTGCAAGGCACATTGAGCACAATAAATATCATCTATCCAAAGATGCAAATTAGACTTATAAGCAAATATGTATTATGGCATAAAAACATTAGCAAATAAAGCACAGTTTCCATCTAATGAGACAAAGAGAACAAAATCGTTACTTCCTGATAAACTGGTACCAAATATCAAATAGAAAAGTGCCTTTTTTGCAGTAGGACAAGCCAAAGTGGGCCTTTTTTTTCTTATATAATAAACGTCTTGCACCTCAGAAGACGATGAATATGTCAAAAAGCCACCGATGACGGTGGCTTTTTGAGGATCGAGACCATTCTTTGGAAGTGCAGCCGCTAAAGAAAGTTCTGGAGGTAATAATACTGAACCACTGTGATGACGGACTTTGACTGAGAGATTTAGAATAAGCAAAACAACATTTTAAATGTTTAACAATGTGGTCAGTCTGCTGGTTTGTCCATTAATGTGATTCCATTGCACCTATTTTTATCCCACAATCTGTTAAAACAAAAATCACACTACTTTTTTGATGCACATGGTGATATATATTTAGTAAATGCATGTCCATTGTAGTTTACGCACATTTTTCTTATCAGATAAAGGATTTATCCTACTCAGTTAGTTTTTTATTACATGTTATTATATTACTATATTCATTTTATTATGTGACATTTTTATCACAAAAATCAAACCAAAAGTGCTTCAGGGGTAGTTAATTTGTCAGTGCTCTTACAGGGATTCATTAAGATAAACAACAAATTCATAAGTCCAAGGCACTTGAAAAGTAAGTGAAAAAATGTAAAATGGGGAAGTATGAGGACAACAATTTTTGTTCCTTTTCAAACTAATGATATTTACACAGACATATTATTAATGAATAATGGATTCTTTTTATGCAGTTCTTTGTACAACACCAAATAAATACCACAAAACAACTCAACAAGGTCTACGGTTTGTAATGGAATGTATTTCCCTCACCTATCTATCTCCATATCGACAACTTTTTTGGTGTGGTAACTTTGTACGGTGCTAATAAAATAAACAAACATACATGAATTGATGTATGTTTGCATTCAGGTTAGAGTCCGGTGAAGCACGGTTTCTCAAAATGGGTACAAGCTATTTAAATTTATGGAAAACGATGTGGTTAAAATGCACTTTTCTCTTCTGACTGCTTTTAAATACACTATTGGTAGTGTTTAGGGAAGGGATTAGTTCAGAAGTTTGCTAGCTGATCTTTACGACAAGCACTGTCTTCTTATGAACATGTATTGTATCTGAAACATAACAAAATGCACCTTAAGCAATGTATTTCAAATTCACAAAAATCTGGACAGCGCCCTTTAGAGGATTTTTCCATCAGAAATGTGCGGTGACACTTATCCATAGCAACATATTTTTATGCTTTCGCAATAAAAAAAAAAAAAAAAAGTATCCCGAGGCATGTATTTCCAGAGCTACATCCCACTAAAATGAAAACAGAGACAAACAGTGATTCAGACGGTGTGGTACTTATTTTAATGGTAATGTAAAGTGCATGTAGACAGGCACGTCCACCATATGTACCTAACCATAAGAGAGCGGCCAATTAGTGTCTGTGGGTCTCTTTTCCTCTGTCTTGCCCATTACAGTCGCACTCCCATTCATTTCACTGCATTTCCCCACATCGCTCACTCACACACATGAAATTAGACCGAGTGGCTGCATAGGAGTTTGCCATGGTTACCAGTTCCTCACGCTGAAGTGTTTTCCTCAATGCACACACTGAGTACATTCCATATGCCATAAACAATACCTACGCACGAACATTTAAACAGAGAACAATTATGGTAGTTGTGTGTTCCCAAACAAATGCGCTCAAATATGAACTTTTCAGAGCTCAGCCCCACAGCCTCAAATAAATAAATAAATATTATTTATTGCATAGTCATTATTGCACATAACATTTCAAATAATGCACCTTAATCTAAAAAGATTTATTTCAAAATGAAAATAAATATATTTCTTTAAAATTCCAGCATGTAAACACAGTATCATAGGTAATGTTTCTGTATAAAATTGGTGGTTCATTCCACTTTGGCGATACAGCAGGGAATAAACCGAACAAAAGTAAGTGAGTGTTTCTTTATAAATGACTATCTGTTTATGTGTGTGAGGAATTGAACATGGTGTGTGTATTTGATGTGTGTACAGTGCATTCATGTGTAAATGTAATGACTCTCCTGTTTGTTTTGAGAGGGCGTTCTCAGTTTACTGACTATATTAAACATCCAGAAAGACAGAACTCACTAGTCTGTGGTAAACTGCATATGCGTCAGTAGGTGAAGATACAATTATAACCCTCCTGTAAAACTGTAATTCTTTTTCGAATATTTCCTAGATTATGTTTTGGAGCAAGGAGATTTTCAGACAGTATTTCCCGTTATATTTTTCTTCTGGACAGAGTCTTATTCCTTTAAAGTGAAGTGGTTTAAAATGTGCATTTTTATTTGATGTTTGACGTAATCTCAACCGAAACACGAAGTGACGGTGGGACATAGCATCTTGAAAGGGGGCGGGGCATGTCAGATACTACAGAGCATTTGATTGGTTAAGATTTGATGAGAAACTGAAGTTGATCCATTTAGGCCAGGGGTGTCAAACGTATGGCCAGATCAGGCCCGCAAGATGATTCTGTAAAGTATAAAAATGAGCTGCAATTTTTCAATTAAAGAAACTGCTGTTCCAATTGTGTCCAATTTCAATTTGTTAATTTCATCCAATCCAGAAGCCTGAATCAGCATCAGTTTGACAGCCTTCTCAGACAGAAAGGCCACATCTATGCCTTGCCATACCACACTAAGGTGTTCTCACAAGGAAACGTAACTATTTTACATTTTTTCAGTTTAGTGGCTAATTCGATTTCAGTCGTATGAAAATGTACAATATAAAAAGGAGGCTGGCATCCAACCACAACCCTAAACCCAACCGACATTGGTGGATTAGCAAAGCATACTAAATTGCACAAATAAGATTGTACAAATTCATTTGAACTAGCAACTAGTTAAAAAGTTACGAATTGCCATGAGATCGTGTTGTCCTCAGGCTATAGCTTTATGTTTTATGTTGATTGTATTAAAACAAAGAAAACAATCTGAGGTTGTATTTTTAGGTTATATATACCATGATTTTACTAGTCCGGTCCACTTAGGAATCGATTTTCCTCCATGTGGCCCCTGAGCTAAAATGAGTTTGACTCCCCTGATTTAGGCAGAAGTGACATTACAAGCTTTACATGTTTATATTAGTTTTATATTTTCTAAACGCAAATTTGATCAGTGTTTTGGAGCACACTAGCTTATACAGTAGATATTTTAAAAACGAGCAACACTGCCACTAACATCTAAAAAATGTTTTTTAATTTCATGGGAACTTTAAGTTTGGCTGGAACAAAAAAATATATAAGGTCAATTTTTTAATATGACTTCTTATCGGAGAACTGAATAAGATTATTGTCTAGGTATGCATGTATGTATGCATCAATAAATTAAATAATTGTAATAAATTAAAAGGAAAAAAACTTGTAACCAGAGATCTAGGGGCCAGGGCTGAGCTTTTTATTGCATCAGCATATTATAATTTAGGCCTATCACTTTATTATGTCTAATACAGAGATATAAAAAGACATTTTTTGCTTTCAGATATTAAACAACTGTATTCTTAGAAGTCTAACTTCAGATTCATGTGACCGCTTTTTGGGCTATCAAAACATCTTTCTGTTTGTTTTATGAAAAGTGACTGACATTTGAAAATGTGAGCCTGCACAATGTTTGAATAACACTTACAATATCATCATAGAGAATAAATACTGCACGCCCCTACACAGTAAAAAAAAATGTCTGCAAATAAAGTTTTGCATAATTTGTGATTAATGTGTTTTTTTTTTCATTTGTTTATGCTTTTGAATAGCATTATGGGATCTTGATCTTTTCTCCATTAATTTTTGATGTTGAACATTTTGTAAAAGTGACTTTTATTGACGTTTGCAATAGTTTTAAATGACATATTGTCTGGGTTGGTGTTAAAAACCTGTTAATAAACCGCCAATACTTCTTATGCCAGTGGTTCTCAAACTGTGGTACGTGTACCACTAGTGGTACGCAGGCTTCCTTCTAGTGGTACGCAGAGGAATGAAATATGTCAAGTACATGCTACACACATTTCACAATTTATCAAAAATGATGTATATAATATGCCATATATGACATATAGCCTATATTTCTGAGGTAATCTGCCAGGTTTTTTTTAACTGTGCAGAGTTGTAGCTGCTTTACTGGGCCTACTACGCCTCTGTATTTCAATACTGCTCATTGTGGTGGTACTTGGAGAGACAATTATTTTCTGAGGTGAGACTTGATGAAAAAAAGTTTAAGAACCACTGTCTTATGCTATTTTACAGGCTTTATATCTCATAAAATCTTTTTTTAAAAACTACTAAAACATCAATCTTTTTTTAAATGATGTATTGTCTGTGTTGGTGTTGTAAGTTGCGCTACAAAAACCTGGTAATAAACTGCCAGTACCTTCTCTATGCATTACTTCTTATACAAGTATATTGCTTCAAACTATGATGTCAATAAAAGCCACTTCGTTAAACTGCAGCGTTGAATTTACAACATCAAAAGCAGACAGAGCAGATCTTAAGGTCCATAGTGCAATTCATAACCTCAAACATAAACAAACTAAAAACATGAACCACTAAATACGGAGCTTGCTAATTAACAGATTTTTTTACAGTGACATTAACAACTCCCAAAGTAAGCATGTACTCAGTTTGCGATGAGAACAGACCAATGATGCGCCAATGCCTCAACAAAATAAAGCAAAAAGACCAATCCCCTTAAAGTGCACACAGAAAAAAAAAAGATAATTCATTGGATTTACTTACTTGATTATATTGAGGTAACTGATTGCAAACAATTTATATTGGCTGAATTAAAATTAATTAAATTGAGTGATGTTCAACTTCATTTGTTCATTTTCAGCCCATATAAATTGTTTGCAATCAGTTATCTTAAAAAAAGCGTATAGCAAATCCAATGAAACATTTTTTTCAGTGCAGCTAACCATCATCTTACCAGTATCAGAAGTAAGCAGACTCCTCCCGCTCTCCAGTTCATCTGTCTCTTCGCTGATGGGAGTCAGACGTTCAGCAGACAGTGCATAATCAAACTTGTCGCCCTGTGAATCCACTACAGATCCATGAACAACCCTCAAATTCACCTCTGAACTCTCATCTTTCACTGAGTCGACAGTTTCATTTTGGCCGAGGCGGCGGAAGCCACTGGAAAAAGCATCTGAAATCTGAGCGAGCCATGAGGAGAATGCTGGGATACCTGTCTGAGGAGTATCTGCCATTCCATTAAATGTCAAGGTTTTACCCTGTTTGCACTAAGGAGGTCTGTTTTCAGATGTACAGAAGACCCATTGAAGTTCCTCATGCTTTCACTGTATTAAATTCAAAACATCGATATTATGGTCGAAGAAAGAACATTATAATCATTTGTTCAATTAAACAATAAACTACATTTTGTCTATGCATAACAGATAACTAATGTACAATGCAAGGTTACATGAGCAGTTACATAGAGGTTACATGCAGTGCTGTTTTATCATAATTGCTTATCAATTACAGTTATTTTATTTTTAATTACAGATCAAATTTGAGCTATTCTGTCTTTTTGTCATTTTATGTTTAGATTATTTTAGTACATGGTTTTAAGCTAAATGTAAAAATACTTTTATCATTATTGCTTTAATAATATACATGTATATATATATATATATATATAAATATATATATATATATATATATATATATTAGATTTTAGATCTAATAGATTTTATTTTTTTATTATTAAAAACATCAAATCAAATTTCACATCAAATTATTTTGGTTTAATTTTTTTATGCAACAACATATACGAGCAATTCCAGCGTTATGGAAGTGAGATTTGCAGTAAAAACTCAAAACATAAATGAACAGAGAAAGTATATGTTTACATTATATTAAGACATCTTGTTATAGTTTTCAAAAGAACTAACCACAGAGTTATGGAATCCAAAAAATATTCACCTGTAAACCATCTTTAAATTTTAAATGAGGAAAATAAGCATGCGTTATAGATGTGACCAAAACGTCTGTGAGTTTACAGTCTACAACATACTTTGTAGAAATTCTGTCAATTAAACTGCAAAACCCAATAGAAACAACGCTAATCAAAAGGATAAAAGTTGACTCACTTTAGAACAACAAAAAAAAAAACCGATTGGTTTTATTTGACATTATTGCATTCATGAGAAAAATGTTTCATTATGGATGTGACACCTCTCCGTTATTTATGTGACAGAACTGAATTTGGCACTTGTGTGACTTGGTTAAATCAAATATAATTGTTTGAAAACACTGACAGAGACATTTTTGAGTATTTTTACAATATTCTAAAATACTAGCCTACACAAAAAACCTAGAAACAGTTTTGCTATTTTGGTAAAAACTTTTTTCATGGCAAGCTTGATATTTGCATGGAATTGCTCACATACAGATTTTACAGTTCTTATGGCTAATAATTAGGGCTGCCCAATATTGGAAAAATCTGACATTACAATATTTCTTTTGCTGCGATATATATTGTGATTTGAATACAATTTTACCAGATGGCCTAGAATACCTCTATTTTGAAAAATCCTTAATTTGATTAGTTGGGTTGACTTTGTAAGGGTGTGAATCATGTATAAAAAAATAATAAACAAATTGCAAGAATAATTACAATAAAGCAACGATAAAAGTAAAATAAACAGTGCTTTATGGTTTTCCATTTAGTCAAACAACATTCGGGTAAAGTAATGTAAAATAACACTATCTAGTGTTTATTGTAATAATAATTAAGTCAAATTATTCTTCATTAAAGTTACAAATGTTTTACGTTATTGTGCCTAAATGCTTTACACTCTTGAAATGCCTTTAAAACATATCCAAATGATAAAGTTTCACTCTGATATAGCTATACAATGCAATGACCTCACAAATCTCATGTATTCTCAATGTTGATCGACTATAATGCCAATTTAACACTGCATATCCCGCGATGTGACTATTGCGAACACTCACATTGCGATATCAGTGCTGAAACGATATATTGTGCAGCCCTACTGATAATGATTACTAACATAAATACTTAATAATAATAATAATCATAATAATAATAAATATTTACTAAAAATAACACTAAAATAAAAGTAATTCAATTCTAAAAATGAACAACAAATGTGTCTATATCAATAAATCAATGAACAAACATTGAATAAATTAAATACATTCTCGAATAAATTACATTATTTTAAATATCTCTCTCTCTCTCTCTCTCTCTCTCTCTCTATATATATATATATATATATATATATATATATATATATATATGTATAAACAACAGTAAATTTGCAATAAATAAAACTAAATTCAAATTTCTAAGACAGTAACCAACACATATTCTTAGATTGCTTTTAGATCAGACACTTACCAGCAAGTCTTCCTCAATTACTCCATTTACTCGATTACTCTTTGCACATATAACAAACCTTCTGTCAAACCAATTCAGCAGGACCTGAATTCATAACATTTATCTAGCTGCTAGACGCAGGACATCTCGCAGGACGGACTGACTGAATGTTTACTAAAGGAGCTGCTTTTAAATACCACAGCAGAACTTCCTCCACCACCCTGCTGATATACAGACTGAGAAGTGTGTTGGTGTGTGTGCGTCAAACCAAAAGGTGCAGAGTTAACACACAGGTGGTGAGTATGTGTGCATAATGTGCGAGGAAAGAATAGAAAAAGGGACAACCCATAGAGCACATAGAGATATGCATCTAATTAGAAAACTGGATCCCAAACACTCCCCCTGTTTGCCATTGGCCATCAAACAGACTGAACAAACATCCCACACACTGTTCATTAAACATCCCAGGCTATACCTGTATTCATCTGAGATTATGGTCAAAGTATTGTCTGTTTTAAAATATATCGCAGTTCACATCGTTTGTAATATTGCAGTTTGTGAATGAAAAAGGTCTGAAAGGTTTTACAATAAACGGTGCTACTGTATTTTGAACATGCATTTATGTAAACCTATTGCAGAAGGCCTTCAAAACTAAATTAGAAACCCTAAACACACCATATGCGGGACTTTTTTTAACCTGTGAAACCTTTTGCAAAAACAATTACTCAGCAAAAAAAGTCGGAGCAGTATTACTCACCCAGACCCTGGTGAATCCCTGCACGGTCTCTTCGCTTGCGTCGGCTGTACTGCTCTAGGCAGGGCAGGCCCCCGACACGAGCAAAACACAGCTTCTTATTGATGAACAGGAAGAGTATGGCCAACAAGACCACAAAGATGCCCACGGCCGAGAGGAAGCCCACCGCCTCAGGAGTGACTGAAGAGAGAACAGACACACAGATCAGACACTGATCAGAAGGACAGAATTGATTGATTGATTCATTTTCTTTTTTCGGCTTTAATCTTTGGTCACCACAGTGGAGGGAACCGCCAACTTATCCAGCACATTTTTTACGCAGCGGATGCCCTTCCAGCCGCAACTCATCACAGGGAAACATCCATTCACACTCATACACTACGGACAATTTAGCTTACCCAATTCATCTATACCACATGTCTAGATGAACGTGGTACTTGTGGGGGAAACATGCAGGGAGAACATGCAGGGAGAACATGCAAACTGTAGAACAGACAGAATTGATATCAGATAAATCAGTTAATTAGTGGTGCACCAATCAAACCGATTCTGAATGCAAATTGTCAGATTCTGATACTGATTCCCAATTTTATTTTAAGGTGCAGTAAAATTTACATTTTTATAAGTTAGTTTTAGTCTGTTAGTTTGAAGAGTATCTGCTAGTGTGCTCTAAAACAGTGACGAAATTTGCTTTTAGATAACATAAATCTGATTTAATCCATTTACTTTTTGAAACTCCTAGTGATCCCATATACTTGAGCTGTACAAACACAAAAATTGTGTCCGTATTAATCACTATATCTGCTTTGTAGGTTTGCTGTATTGGTTGAGAACGAAAAGTGATTTACAAAGTAAAAAAAACAATAAGACTATGTTTTTCTTTCAGATAAAAGCTTTATCGATCTGTTTTGCTTTTTCTCTTGAGTCATATGTCATATTAAATTGTAACAGGAATGTTTTTTTTTAATGTGTATGAATAGATGCATTGGACACAATGTTGTGTGACTTTTTTAAGGTTATGAGAATCATGGCATATGTGCTGTATGTATTTTTTTTTAATCAGACATCGCTAATTGAACCTGTGGATTAATACTATGATACTACTTTTCTTACTGTTACTGTTTGAAAACTAACCCATGAACAGATGAAGCCAAAGAACTAATGGACTCTATTTGTAATTTGCATGTCTTATATAAGATATGCATCTAAGATCTAATTGTAAAATTCATATGCTGCACTTTCACTGTATTTGTTAATTATAATTAATGATTATTTTTATTATTAATAATAATACTGCTACTACAGAACACTTATTAAATTATCACTTGAAATGTTGTTAAAGATTCTCATTTTATTTATAGTATTTTCCTGTCCTCAACTTCATTCATTCATTCATTCATTTTCTTCAGTTTAGTCCCTTATTCATCAGGCATCGCCACAGCCGAATGAACTATTCCAGCATATGTTTTTACACAGCAGATGGCTTTCCAGCTGCAACCCAGTACTGGGAAACACCCATACACTCTCTCATTCATATACACACTCATACACTATGGCCAGTTTAGTTTTTTTAATTCACCAATACCACATGTTTTGGACTGTGGGGGAAGCCAGAGCACCCGGAGGAAACTCCACACAGAAACGCCAACTGCGACTCGAACTAGCAAACTTCTTGCTGTGAGGCGACAGTGCTAACCACTGAGCCACCATGCCACACTTTTCACTTATATTTTCTTATAACAAAAGTTATATTTTAAAGGTAATGCTCTTTTGATATTTTTGCAATTCTTTTATGAGAACATGTTTGAAAATACTTTTTATTTCATGAGATGGCAAAATGTCTTAAGTCTTAAAACCGTCACAGTGCTTTTTTGTGATTAAATTAAAACTGCTGAAATCAAGATCACTTTTAGTAGTGATTTTGGTAGCTTCAGGTTTTACACATCGTAATTCTATATTATTTCAGCACTGAAGAGTCAAAAATTCACATGTTAACTAGTCATGTTGCTCAGTTTTCATCTTTTTCAATGCATGATAGTATACTACAGCCCTGACGTCTGCCTTGAGGAAAGCAGCTCTGCAGCACACACAGAGAAACCACGGCTTCGTATTCAGCACATACCCATCAAAGGTGCTTTGAAGTGAACACTTCAAGTGTAAAATGGACCATTAAGTTGCATAAGAGTGAATATTTCACCAAGTCTGAGAGGCCAGGCTCTCCTGAATGTGTGTTTGAGAGTGTTTACATGTGTGTGTTGAATGAAAAGCAGAAGCTTAACACTATTATACTGAACCATCTAATCTGCACCCACACAAACACACACACACACACACACACACACACACACACACACACACACACACAAACACACACAAACACACACACACACACACACACACACACACACACGGCAACATCACAATCACAGTTGTTGCTGAATAGTACAAAATAACCATACAGATGAGGATGAAAAGACATGAGCAGAGAGAAATATGATCATAGAAAGAAACATCGACATGTAAAGAAAAGAGCAACACATACATACACAATTCATTTTTCAAGATCAATATTAAAGTAACATTAGATATATTACTGATATATGGGCTTATGGTAGTCTCAGACGTTTTGCAATGTATTTTAAACATTTATTACTGAAATAAACTGCAAAAAAAAGTTATTTCTACAGGTACAGTAACAAAAAGACCTCTTGTGCATAATTGTTGAGAGCAAACAAATGTTTTAAACAAATTCAAATATGAAAATATGTAAAGTGCAACAGGTAACACTAACTACAGTAGGGTCTCATTAAAATTGTTAACATCACCTATAGATAAACAAATGCTATACTATAAGCTTTTATTGTAAATGTAGATTATTTTAAGGTTCATGTTCAACCAATAACGACAATTCTGCCTTTATTAATCATCCATCGGTTGTTCCAAACATGTAAATAGGAAAACAGACTGAAAAAAGGGAAAATATACTGAAGAATATCAGTTTAGATAATTTTCCTGTTTTATGCGTGACCCTTCTGTACTTGCATCATGTAATTTCAAGACCAATATAGCTAGGAACTATACTTTCATTCTGGCGTAATAATCAAGGAACTTGGCTGCAGTACTATGGCTGCAGCATGAGCAGTGCTGTTACATAGCCGGCTCACAGCAAGAAGGTCGCTCGCTGGTTCGAGCCTCGGCTGAGTGAGTTGGCATTTCAGTGTGGAGTTTGCATGTTCTCTCCATGTTTGCGTGGGTCTCCCCTGCTAGCTTCGGTTTTCCCTACAGTCCAAAGACATGCGCTAGGTAAATTTAATAAGCTAAATTAGCAGTAGTAAATGAGTGTATAGGTGTTTCCCTGTACTGGGTTGCAGCTGGAAGGGCATCTGCTGTGTAAAACATATGCTGGATAAGTTGGCGATTCATTCCGCTGTTGCGACCCCTGATGAATAAAGGGATTAAGTCGAAGGAAAATGAATGAATGTTACCAGCTGCGGACTATTTGTAGATGCTGCATGATATCATTGCGCCTGGTGCAGATGTATGGCAGCACTGTTCCTTGATGAAACTACACGATGTAACTAGAAGAGACAAGCTTTAAATATGAGCATTATCTAAACTCTTTTAATAAAAATAATAATAAATTTTATTTATATTGCGCTTTTCTCAGACTTAAACAAGAGCATCAAAACACAGTGGGGTATATGCCGAAGCATGCTAATAGGACTTTTAATTTGCCAGTAACCTGGGTTAAGCGCTTCTGGCGAATTGAATGTCAATGCAAAATCCAGTGCGTTTAAAGTCTGTTTTCTTTAAAAATCAGCGATCTCCACTGGCTGAGTGATATCCGATTTAAAGTGGGTCTCAGATTGTACAAGAAGCACTGCATTAAATTACATTTCCCCTGCCATATCTTTATAATATGAGCATTTATTTTTACCCCAGTAACGTTATATTCAAGAGAGCTTCTGTGTTAGCCTGCCAATTCTGACGGGCGCGTGCGAGTAAACGGCTTTTTGTCTCGTTTTATGCTTGAGCAACTAAATAAATGCTAGAGTTTGTTTAACTGAATGTATTTTAATGACATTACAACATCGATGCTGTATAAGGAACCGTATAAAATGGAAAAAAGTTCACAATAACAGGTCACCGGAAGTGTATCAGCATTAGGCACTAGCTCGACATATACCCTGTTGAACATAAAATACACAAAAAAGTAAGAATGATAATAATAATTTTTGAGTGAGATGCTAATGGTCTAATCTGATTTAATGAGTCATGTTAAGCTAAATTAAAAGTACTCCCAGACCCGGAGATCGACTGAATGGATTAAAAAATAGTAAAGCTCAACTGTTTAACTCTAGGGCATAATTTGAATTAAAAGGAGCTTATTTCCAAAAAAAAGTGCAGCGTTCCTTCATGTATTCAAGAATTTTAGCACTATGACAATCTTAATATTGTCACCATTTCTCAATGAAAAACAAGTTAAGTTTTTTTTCCCATATCATGACATGAAACAGTCCTAAAGTAAAAAAAATAAATAAAAAATTATTTCGTCCGTTGGGAACTGATTGGATCATTGTTTGATGGGTGTTGCTAATAAAATGAAAGAAAATTGACAAATAGATGAAGGCAGAGCAGAGACTTGCCCAGATAGCCCCGCCCTAAAGGCATTCCATGTGACCAGAAGTCATTTTGAGGGGGCAGGGAAAGGTTATTCATTCATTCATTTAATCAGGGGTCGCCACAGCAGAATGAACCGGCAACTTATACAGCATATGTTGTCCTTCTAGCTGCAACCCATCACTGGGAAACATCCACACTCATTCACACACATACACTAGGGCCAATTTAGCTTAGTGCATGTCTTTAGACTTGTGGGGGAAACTCAAGCGAACAAGGGGAGGGCATGCAAACTCCACACAGAAATGCCAACTGACGCAGCGGAGGCTTGAACCAGCG